CAAAAGGATCTGCAGAGACAACCCTCACAGTTAACTCAGTAAAAAAAAATTCGTGATCAATAGAGAATATTTGTTGAATAGGTAAACAAGAAAGCATTGTTTATAGTATATATTCTCCAGTAAAAAGGTCACTAGGGAAGACAATTCAATATTTAAAGTGCAAAGATCAAAGCCTGGGAGAAGAAGACTGCCACTGTAATTCTTTAGTGACAGCTCCAGAGGATAATAGAATACCTTTATTTGCTGCAAACACAGGTATAGCAAATAGGATATTTCCCCACGCCCTGTGCTGGTTTTGGTTGGGATAGAGTTCATTCTCTTCACAGTAGCTAGTATGGGGCTATGTTTTGGATTTGTGTTGAAAACAGCGTTGATAATGCCAAGATGTTTTTGTTACTGCTGAGCCGTGCTTACCCAGAGCCAAGGCCTTCTCTGCCTCTCCCCCCACCCCACCAGCGAGGAGGCTGGGGGGGCACAAGGAGTTGGGAGGGGACACAGCCGGGACAGCTGACCCCGACTGACCAAAGGGACATTCCAGACCATGTGACATCATGCTCATCATATAAAGCTGGGGGAAGAAGGAAGGGGGGACATTCGGACTTATGACGGTTTGTCTTCCCAAGTCACCGTTACGCGTGATGGAGCCCTGCTTTCCTGGAGATGGCTGAACACCTGCCTGCCCATGGGACGTGCTGAATGAATTCCTTCTTTTGCTTTGCTTGTGTGCGTGGCTTTTGCTTTACCTATTAAACTGACTGTATCTCAACCCACGAGTTCTCTCAGTTTTACCCTTCTGATTCTCACCCCCATCCCACTGTGAGAGACGTGAGTGAGCAGCTGCAAGGGGCTCACACCAGCTGGGGTTAAAGCATGACACCCCATTTTTTAGGAAGAGATAAGCCCAAAATGCTAGAAGGAGGGTATTCTTTTCTTCTGCAAGTCTACAAACCAGCAGGATTCCAATGTCATTCCTCTTTGCATCCCCTTTTTTCCCTGACTCTCTTTGCCATATCAGGAGCATGTGGTCACCAGAAGAGAAAGAAAAAATTACCACTTGGCTATGTGCAGGATGACTGATGAACATTCATTTGGTAGCTCAAAATGGACTTTGCCTCATGATTGAGGAGGACTTCAGTGAACCAAATATTCGTATTACCAAATCACATGGTGCTTTATATAATACTTACCAATCTAAAGAGGAAAAACCATCACTGGCAAAATAAGGGGCAAAGGGAAAGGGCTGTACTGATCTTGAACAGCTTAAATACAAGGACAAATAAAATATGCCTTCTACTGAAGGAGACCTTAAACCACACCAAAGCTGTGATTCACAATCCTTGTCAGACTTAGCTGCAGAACGAAAGGCTTAGCTGAAGCGGCCACTGCCCCCCTCAGATGGGAACAACAGATTCTTCAGGGAGCGTATCTTTACCTGACAGAGATTGCGAATCACAGCTTTCAGCCATCACAGTTAGCCTTGCATATTAATATAAATTGAAAGTGATGTTTCCTCTTGTTAATACTGTGGGTTGCGGTGGCTTAGATAAGGTGTACCACCTTTCCGTAAATCAGCTGCAAGGGCATCATTTTATGCAGGGAGTAAGGGATAGCTTTACAATTGTCCCAGCTTGAGTCAGCAGATGACACAAATAAGTCTGTATTCTCCCAATGTGCTGCATTTGAAAATGAATTTTCATTAACTAGTTTGTTACGAATCCAAGAAAAGGATGGCACTGCAAGGAGACTAGTGAGCTTGTGGTCAGCAAGTATACAGCAAGCGATGCAGGTCTTTTATACTATTTAGCACTATTTAGATCAATCATTAGATCAATCTTTAAGGAATGTACATGCTCCCAGGCAAGAAAGTTCAGCTGTGGTCAGTATAGTCACCATCATAAAGATTTAAGAAAGGGACTATTTTTACAGAAAAATATCTGTATAAACCTTTTGTCAATAGAACAATGCTGGCACTGATACATATCATTTGAGCACAACTTTATATTCAGAACCAAACATATTGAGCTGTATTCATTAAAATTTAAGGTTAGACTTCTTGTACAATTGTGTTAATAACAAAAGGCACCTTTTAATCAGCTGACCTCTGTAACTTTACAGTAGTAATATAAACATTAAAGATCTGCTTCACCAATCTTTCATTAACAGCTGTTTTCCACTCCTCTCATTGGGTGGAACAGCCATGAAAGTGATTTCTTCACCATCTCTTAACACAACCTTGGTGATTCACAATTTAAAAAACAAAAACCACTTAAAATTAGAAGTGATCACAGGCTAGGTATATCTTTTTTTTTTTTTTTCCCCCCTTTTTTTTTTTAAATCCTAGACATAAATCTGTATAAACTCTTCAGATGTGAGTGATTAAGTTAAATAAGGGCCATCATCCTGGCACCAATGGGCACAAACCCCTCTTATGGTTGTGTCCAAAACAGGGCCAGGAAGTGATATGGGCCACATACTTCCTGGCAAAGAGGGAGACTTTAGTAAATACCGCTTACTGAACCTACACCCTGACACAATACCAACTGTGCCAGGTTTGGCTCTCTCCACTCTTCAGCACTGTGCCAGCACTGTGAGACTCTGGAACAAGCCATGTGTACCCCCAGTTTCAGGCTACTAGAAGGTGTGTGGCACACCTCATGTTATTTCTAGTGCTGACTAGGAGAAATACCATACACCCTCGCCATTGCCACTTGCCAGCACAGCATTTCACACTTCCTTGAATTTAGGCAGCTCTTCAGCTTGTTATGAAGGCTGTGTGGATAAGGATGCTAAGGCACATTCTGTTATGTGCTCAAGTCAAGTTCTTTGAAAGCATTCCAGAAGATCAAAAGAAGGTGCCTCAGAAAGACAATACCAAAACATGTCTAGAGTCAGTGTTAAATTCCAGGTGACCTGCTGGAAGCACTAGGAAGTGAGAAGTTTTTGCTTTGGGGGAAGGAAGCTAGGACTTGCCAAAACATGTGAATTAACTAAAGGCAGAGATCCTAGCAAGTACCAAAGTTAAGAACACAGGTGCTTCTCTCCATTTACCAACAAGCTGAGGAAGCCATGTGATCCCTTACAACTACCAGAAAATGGTTATTTCTGATAATTTTTTTGGTAACATGGGTGATAGGACATATTGAAAGCTGCCTTTGATCTATTCTTAATCAGTTTTCATTGCAAAGACAATCCCACAAATGGGCTTTCCTTTTCCCAAGGCAGAGCAACCCACACCACCTTTCCCGGGCACTTACCTATATATACTGCAGGGATCTCATCTCCTCCCATAGTACGTAGGGTCTTTGTTTGGGCAGAACCAGGGCAGTTAGAGCATCTGGTGTTAACCAGCCAAATGACTTCTACTAACCTTACATCCCACTGCTTCCATTCCCCAGCGCCCTATGCTCTCAGCATAGTCTTTAACAATCCATTGTATGGGTCAATCTTTCCAGAGGCTTGTGGATGATAGGGTACATGATGCGCCAAATCAATGCTATGTTTCTTGGCCAGGAGTGTATGAGGTTATTTCAGAAATGAGTTGCACTGACTCAATTCTTTCTGGGGTATCATGACACAGAACTTGACGTTCAAGGCTCAGGATGGCATTTCAAGCACTGCCGTGGTTTACAGGGTATGTCTCCACTCACCCAGTAGATGCTTCCACCATGGCAAACGCATAGCGCTTGCCTCGACAGGTTTAGAGCAGTGGTCCAGTATAGCCAATTTGCCAGGCCTCACCATATTGATACCCCAGCCACCTACCTCCAGGGAGACTTCACTCACATGGGTGTCCTGCTTTCAGCAGGGATAGAGTTAATTGTCTTTGTAGTAGCTGGTACAGTACTATGTTTTGGGTTCAGTATGAGAAGAATGTTGATAACACACTGATGTTTTCAGTTGTTGCTAAGTAATGTTTAGTCTAAAGTCAAGGATTTTTCAGCTTCTGATGCCCAGCCAGCGAGAAAGCTGGAGGGGCACAAGAAGTTGGGAGGGGACACAGTCAGGGCACCTGACCCAAACTGGCCAAAGGGGTATTCCATACCGTGTGACATCACATCTAGGATATAAACTGGGGGGGGAGTGGGGGCGGGGGGGGTCACTGCTGAGGGACTAACTGGGTATTGGTTGGTGGGTGCTGAGCAATTACATTGTGTATCACTTGTATATTCCAATCCTTTTATTATTACTATTGTCATTTTATTAGTGTTATCATTATTAGTTTCTTATTTTCTGTTCTATTAAACCGTTCTTATCTCAACCTAGGAGTTTTACTTCTTTTCCCAATTCTCTCCCCCATCCCACTGGGTGGGAAGTGAGTGAGCGAGCAGCTGTGTGGTGCTTAGTTGCTGACTGGAGTTAAACCACGACAATAGGTCACTTGATTGCAATGTATGTTTCACATGTATGATAACCTCAACAGTCAGGGCCACCCCTCAACGACAAGCCCATTTTTTTATTGTATCTCTCCCAGTTACTGTTGTTATCTTGAATTCTTCAAGGTTTTTCATCCTATTTTCTCTCCCTGTCCTCTGGAGTAGGGAAGTGAAAGCAGCTCAGTGGGCATCTGGCTGCTAGCTAAGGTTAACCCATCACAGTCCATTTTTTTGGCATCCAGCATGGGGTGCACAGATTTGAACCTCTTGATCTGCAGTCAAATGCTGCTGGCCCAGGTCAATCCACAATCCAAACGTGCTGCCTTTAAAACATTTCTTGCAGCTGGAGAAGGCTGTTGCCCAGAGCAAAGATCAGGCTTGCCTCCGATGACTTGCTTGACTAAATTTTTGAGTATAATTATCAGTAGAACAAAATTCAAAGCTGCTGAGAAGTGCATGTGATTAGCATTTATGCAGGCCAGGACAAGACAGCCTATCAAGGTGTTGAACATATTCAGTGAAGCTTGGTTAAATAAATCATCTTTTAAATCAACCTTTGCCCAAGCAAAGTCCAGTCTTACTTATAGGTACAGCCACAGGAGGGGCAGCAAAAGACAATTCCTGTGCAAGCTGCTCCACACAGAAACATAGGTAAGAAATTCCTTTTTTGCTAATCCCTCTTCCCTTAGAAAATGCCTTTTTATGATCCCAATAATTTTGCATGTAAAACTTTCATGGATTAAAAAGAGTAGTATGCAGTGCACTGTAACCTTCCCTCCATTTCTAAATACAAAGAAATAGTCTTTTCCTTAAAAGTCTACTGTTTCTCCAGTTTTGTATGCCACTGGTTTTGCATGTTAATTTCAGGAAGTACCACTGATTCCCAGTGTTTGTCAAGAAAAACTGCTTTGAGTTGTAGTTGCGATCAATACAGTCTGGTGTGTTCCAAACAATGTCCAAAAAAATAGGGCAGTCCATCCCTATATGGAGTTAGCCCCAGTGCAACTACACAGAGACTCAAAAAAGCACAAGGCACCTGACAAAGTGAATCATGATCTGCAGGCTTCCTACCCCTGCATGCTGAAATTCCCCATATTTTCCAGCTTCAGTGACATCTGTGCCAAACCCCCACCACACATCCATACTGTTCTATATGCTGCCCAACTAACCTCACCAATGCACTTTTAGCTTCAATAGCAAACGGTCTGTAGCATGGGTAGCCACAGAGGCTATTGCACAGTAGCCTGCTGTCATGGAAGGATTTGGCTCCCAGCTACTTCTAAAAAAAAAGGAAAAGGAAAAAGGCCAGCTCCCACATACATTAGTCACACAGGTGATATAAAAAGAATTAAAACACAAAGTTGCAAAGAACTCTTTACACAGAAACAGATTAATTTTCTTAGGATTTATTAGGCTGTGATTAGTGGCTAATCTCTACAACACAACTTCGATCTTTTGACAGCCTGTTCAAGAATTCTCAGTCATGGGTTTCTCTAGGTTTGCTTTATTAACAACTCAGAGTTGGGCCACCACTGCAGTGAATGGCAACCCTCCAAAAATTTCTCAGTCTTGTGTACCTTTTTACCACCCATTATCCCAGTCCAAAGTCTTTGCAATTTTCCAGTTGATCTCAGTTCCCATGTCGTTGTCATTCATCAGCATCTTGTCTCATCAATTCTTCTCTTGTTCCGTCCAGTCATCATCCTGTGGGTTTCAAAGTCCGTCTTGGGTCAGTCATCTTCTCACCCCTTTACCTTGAAGTCTCATACCTACACAATTCTGACAAAACCCCTCTGGTTGTTCCATTAACTATTTCACACTTATCTTTATAAGTTCTATATATTTTAATCACTCCCCAGCTAAGCACCTGTATCTTGCTGATTTTTCATCTTTTGTTTGATCTGTCTCTACTGATTAGCTTGGCTGGGTTTTAATCTGGTCCTGGATTGGGGCTATACCAGGGGGCAGACTGAGAACACTGTCCATGGCCTGTTGAGCAGCTCTGTTGCCATTAATAACCTTAACCCATTCTATATTAATTTCTAACAGTCTTAATAGTCTTAAATTTTCTAAAATCTTCTACAGTTCCCTCCTTTTGTTTTTATTCTACTCAATTGCATACCTGCAATTGTAATAACTACAATAATTCCAGGCAGTATCTCTAATCTTATTCATCATGCTCATATAACAAGCAATACAACTTTGTACTAAAACTAATCCACACACAAAAATCACAATAATTACAATCAGTATCACAATCCCCTTTTTCAACCATGTTGCTATGCTTGGAAACCATGACATGAGCCAAGAAAAGATTTCTGCAAATCCCCATGATGTATCATCTTTCACTATTTGTTGCATCCTTGAACGTATTTCCCATATTTTATGCACGTTGGTCAGCAATTCTCCAGTATGGTCTACATACATACAACAACTAACATTTAACACCATACATACTCCTCCTAGTGATGCCAAAAGAATATCTAATGCCATATGGTTTTGAAGAGTCAACTTAGGTAACTCATGAAACTCTTCTTGTAAAGTTAATAACCCATGAGCAGCATAATTGACTAACTTCTCAATTTCACCAGAAACATTCGAAATCACCTTTTCCAATTCACTTACACCTAGTCTTGGTATGAACCAATGGATAAAAGACTGAAATTTAGTGGATCTGTCTATTTCTGGTTTGTCAAGTACATGATAAAAATGTTCTATGCCAAACAGGCCTTCAAGTTTTTTGGCCATATTTCTAAATCCATGGACAACAGTCCCAATGTACAAGAGCTTTGTATGCCCTCTGTCCACACAACCAAAAGACCCCCAAAGAAGTTGCTCCAACCCAACTCAATTCAGTTGCTGACTTAATCATTATAGTAGTGTTACATTTAGTCTAATTACCTACAAACGTATGATTTTTTACATAAATTCTTGTTCTTAATGTCAGGTGGATAACATCTCTGGATATATTGTGTAGGGAGAGAACCAGCACCTGTAGGTAAACTAATATCCCATACATGTTCCTCATGAGCATCAGTGAAGGTGGTATTTTGCCAGTATTTTTCCCAATTTTTATTCCTTGGGATAGGTACCCTTACCAATTGAGTTCTGTGACCTACTGAGTTTGGTAAGGTAACACAAAACGAGCAATCAGACAGATTTACATTATGTGAGATAGATTGCATTATAGACACGTGTGTTGTCTTTTCAATGATTTTCCCAATTTATGTCTGGCAGGCTCCTAGGTTTTCCTAGTTTTCATTCAAAATTTGGTATTGATCGATATTCAAAAGATCTTCTCAAAACTCAATCATAAATTTCCTGCTTGTTAGGTTTGCCTTGTACACCTAATATCAAACCCTGATATTCAATCAAAAAGGCATGATTCAGAGATAAATCATAACACCACCAATCATTGTTCATCTAACCTGTTTCCTTATGTTGTCCATGTCCAATCATCCATAGGTCATGACTGATACACCAAGTTCTTTTCCCTGTTCTTGGCTCACATATTTGTAAAAGATAAGCACAAGGAATTCACCATTTTGGTTCACAGCAAGGTTTGAAATTCCAAGGACCTTCAAGATTAGAGCAAACCATTACACAAAATTTTGCAGTTTGCATTACATTTTCAGGAACTTCCCATCTAATTTTGTGTTCCTGGAAACAACAACACTTCTATTATTTCTAATTTGAGTTCCCTTAACTCTACCAAAGTTTTGGTATATGGGGTTTCCATAACTTCTCACAGTTCGTTCAGTTTCAAGTTCTCGGTAATGCAATATAAAATGAGACCACAAGGTGTCAGTAAAAAAACAAAAATTGAGTCAATACCAAGATTGCTGTTGAGATGTTAATTCTTCCGAAGTATGTTTACATGTGAATGATGGATCCAGGCTTCTTTTCCTTGTATCTTTATGGCATAAAAAGAGGTTAATATTATAAGATAAGGTTCTTCTCAATTTGGTTCAAACCTGTTCTTCCTTTTAAATTTTTTAATATAAACCACATCTCCAGGTTGAATGTCATGCACCTATACTTCTGGAGAAAATCCTCGGTACCAATATGCATGATTTCTCAACTTAGTAAATGAATGTTGTAAGTACAGTAAATGTTGGGTCACTTGTTCACCTCCATCCAATAAGCTTGTCTTAGCTGGGACTTAAGTTCCCCAGTACTGCTATTATCCTCCCAAATAGGATTTCAGCAGGTGAAACTCCTATTGGTTGCCTTGGTGTATACCTAATATCCCAAAGAACTAAATTTAAAGCTTCTGGCCATTTCAATCCTATCTGTTTATACACTTTCACCATTTTTTCTTTTATTGTCCTGTTCATCCTTCCTATCTGCCCTGAGGATTCCTTGTGATAGGGTGTACGAAATTGAGCTTTAGTGTTTAAAAAAATTATATATCTGCAAAAGAATTGCAGCTGAGAAATGTGCTTCTTGATCTGAATCAATCACTTCTGGTACCCCATATCTTGATAATTTCTTTAATCAAAGCTTTCACTACTGCTTTTGAATCACTTTGCCTTGTCGGGAAGGCTTCTACCCATCCAGACAGCTGATCAACTATCACCAGCATAGAGGTAAAACCTAATGCCTTGGGCATTTCAGCATAGTCTATTTGTAATTTCTGAAAAGGGTATGTATCCAGAGGTCTTTTCCCAGATGGGGTTTTAATTCGGAGAGTTGCATATTCTTTACACAACCAGCAACCAGTTGCTGCATAAACTCCTGGTGCTGCCCACAATCTCTGAATCTTCAAGGCAATACTCTCTGGTCCCCCATGCATCTTATCATGGTACCATTGCGTGATCGGTAATAAATACCTTTTGGGAAGTAACGGTTTACCTCCAAATGTCCAGATTCCTTCACTTTGATCTCCTCCAAGTTTTTCCCATAGTTTTTTCTTATCTTCTGGGAGATCATCATATAATTTTCCCATCTCAGGGAGTTCACCTTCTGAGTACTCCAACTTCAATGCCATCAATAATAAGATCTGTTTTGCTGCTGCCTTAGTTGCTTGATCTGCTAGGGCATTCCCCTTTGTGATTCTGTCTTGTTTGTGTGGGTCTTTATATGTATCACGGCTATTTTAGAAGGTAACTTGATTGCTTCCAATAATGCTTTAATTTCTGGCCCATGTGCAATGGTTTTTCCTGCGGAGGTGAGAAATCCTCTCTCTTTCCATAGCACACCTGTTGCACAACAGACTCTAAAAGCATATTTAGAATCAGTGTAAAGATTTACATGCATTCCGATTGCATACCTTGCTGCTCCAGTAAGGGTGATAATTTCCACTCCTTGAGTACATAGAGAAGGTGATAAAGGTTCAGCCAATAATACCTGTGTTTCTCTGGTAACAGCATATCCAGTTTGCTTCAATCCACCCTCATAATATGATGCTCTATCTGTAAATAAGTTCAGATCTGGGTTATCTAAAGGTTCATCTCTCAAGTCATTCCACGGTTTGCTGGTTGAGTATACAATGTGAGTACAGTTATGTACGTCCTTTTCACCATCTGTTGGCAGTGGCATTAAAGTAGTTGGATTCAAAGTATTACATCTCTCTATTTTCAGGTTATCAGTAAGTAACAAAATCAATTCATAACAATGTGCCATTTGTGGAGATGGTGCCTTTTCTGCAT